CTGCACTATATGCTTTGCTGTCACCGTCACTCAAAAATGTCGTGGAATGCAGTGGGGTGTCATAAGTCAAATGTTCTCTGCCAAATGTGCATTGCAGCCTCCGTTTCCATGGCATGGGAGGAACAGTCTGCATTTTTTTCACAGACTGGGCCATAGAATGCCTGCCACACTTACTCGTCTGGGCCCATATCCTTGTGCCTACTGCATGTCAGGCAGTAATTTGATATGACCTCGAAGTCTAAGCAGAGGCCAGTATCTAAGGAGATAACTGCGCCAATCCCGTTGTGGCTTTTGTGGCCCCTCTTCTGCCAAGTGCCGTGGAACATAACAGCCACATCAGTTTCGCCTGCTACTTCTTTCGTCAACTCTCTGGATCGGCGCAAGTTTTCACTCACAGCTGCCATGGCAGCGGTGTGCACCTTCTTTGCTATCGAAAAAAATCCTCGGTGGTGCATTGGCTTTGGGAGTCCAATAATGGAGCAAAATCTCGACAATTGCTCGTGCCCAATGCCGACAGCGCGTGCAGCCACCACCGCCTTCACATTTACAGCGAAACTATCTCGGGAGCTCCCACTGTCGTACCGTTGGCTCACTCGGCTGCTGCCGTCCGCCGTAACACGCAGTGACGTATAGGAGCACGATAGAACAGTCGCTGAGCATTCGCTGTTTTCGCAATGAAGTTCGAGGAGCGACAAAAGTCCCTTGCGCTTTTCTGCCGGCTCCCGAACGGCAAGTTTTTGAATACCGCAAGCAGGGCATGCCGCACCTGCCACAAGTGTCGTCAGCAAGAGGGTGTCGCACGAAACTGTCGTTGCACAAACCTCATCGCGCTGTTTTTCGTCTTTTTCCAAGAAGCCGAGCTTCTTTTCCGAAGCACTGACGAAAGAAAGCGCAGCGTCAATCTTTTCTTCGCAGCCCCTGTCGCTCGCGCACTCGTCGATGCCGCCGTCAGGCCTAGCACATGTAGGCGTGTTCTCGTTCGTCGCCGTCGTTCGGGGCGCTTTACGCCGCCTTCCCTTGAACTTGTGCTTCGTTCGAAACTTCTGCGGTCTCACGTTGCACTTTTTCGGGCTTGTCATCCCGGAAATATGCGTAGACGCGCAGAAAAGCAGACGGACCAAATGCCGATGGCCGCCACCAACACAGCTGACAATGACTCGGTAGTCAATGGCGATGCAGCTTAGGGTGCCGCGCGTTTCAACATTGCTCAAACCACGTAACAAAAAGGCCTCGTTTTTTATTTTTTTTTTTGCCCACGTACGAAACTGGCGGTCGTCGGAGCTGTAAGAAGAAGGCCGGACGCAACTTTCCTAACCGATCGCGATGGCGGGCGGCACTGCGACGGGGAGCAGCGCGCAGTCGAAGATGGCCAATATCGGCACAAATTCACGAAATTTTGAGCCACCGCGATGCCTTCATACACATTTTTTTGCATATTGCGGTTCGAATTTAGTTTTGAAATTTTCACAGGTGAAAGAAGAAGGTTTGAAGATTACAATGCAATAAAAATCCCAAATACGAGAAATTTCGCTAAAAACGCGATTTTTCGACTCTCATCTCCCATAAACCACAACCAGCATTGTGCACTAAAAGAACCTACATTTGAATTGTGTGTGCTTTCACGGTGTGTTCCAGCGGGCCAATACGTCAGCCATTGGAATCTGCCCAGTGATTGCCTCCACACGAACGGAATCACTTATCTTTTTCATTTCAGGTGAGTCAAACGGCCAGCATTCATGGAGGGTATTGGGACCTATTCTCTACGAATGATTTGCCCTCTTAGGGCAAACTGTTCACATGTGGTGTAACAGGTAATCCTTAGAATGATTCAAAATCGAACCTGTGATGTGCACCTACGAAACGCATTATTTACAGCCTACTGTACCGCGTAGAAATGCATGTTAAAGCCTTCCTCCTGGGAGGAGGGGTGGTGCCAGAGCGGGTGCGACGTGGACTAGGCCCGTCCAGACACTTTGGCGGCAGTGGTGCCAATTTAGCGGATTTCCCGCTAAATCTGGCGGATTTTATTTTATTTCGACGGGAAAAAAATCAGTCTAGCGGCTAGCGGATTTTCTGACGGGCCATTTTTGTACATAGCGGATTTCTGTCGGATACCTCACGCCGTGGACCAATTCAAAATCGCCCTGCAGGAAACCATTCCCGTGTTCTTTAAAAATGCGGAAATTGTTTAACTTCAGAGGCTCCTGTTCACTTGCTCCGCCTATCTCAGACAAACAAATCCTTGAGGTTTCAAAGCGGCGATCGCTTTCTAAGTTCTAAGTCGAAAAACGGTTCTGTTTATTCTCCGTGTAACCTGACTCCCCTTCCTCTTGAGTTATGCCGAAAGTGGTATATTCGCAGAAGTTCAGGACGGAGTGGTTAAAGGATCCCTTACTCAGCAAATGGCTGGAGTGCAAAGCGTCTGCTGATGGAAAACAAGAAAACGGCGGAAGCATTGCCGAGAATCTTAGAATACCTAATAAGCGAAACGTACAACTGGTTCGCAAGATCCCCTGCCTGGCAAATGGCGTACAAGAAGCTCTACGGTCTGATGAATGACGGCGATGAACCACTGAAGATTGTGCAAGCGTGCAGGACGCGATGGCTATTCCTCGAAATAGCCGTATCGAGGATCGTAGACCAGGGGACCGAATTGAAGGCGCACTTCGAGATTGCAAAGCACACTGAAAAGTGCTATGCGGCAGAGGTGCTGTATGGTATGTACGAAAACCAGATAAATCTGGGGTACTTGCTTTTTTGAGAACAATTCTGACAGATGTTCAGAAGGTTAACAAGGCATTCGAGGCGAAAAATGCGGTTCAAACAAAGCTGCTGAAAGACCTCATGACTTTGCTTTCAAGTTTGGTTGAAAAAGTCGTAATTCCGACAGAGCAGATTGACGTTTTGACGTGCAGACTTGAGGACCACTTGAATCCCAAGCCATATCTGGGCTACCTGTTTGAGACGTACGTTGACAACATGAAAGCTCAGAAGACCGACGAGTTCTCTGTCGCAGATGAAGCTGTGATGCGAGAAAGCTGCATAAGGTTTATTACCACGCTAGTAGATCAAATCAGACAGCGACTTCCCGACAACATCACAGTTCTCCAGAAAACATCACTCTTATCGGTCAAAAACGCTTTGTGCATCGTGAAAGAGCCATTGATTCCTCTGCTGGAAGCAATGGCAGTGCCCCCTGAAACGATCGAAAAAATTCAAAACCAGTGGGGCAAAATCACAATCCTGGACTGGAAGCAAATATCGTCCACGCAGTCGTTCTGGTGTGAAGTTCACTCCTATAAGGACGCCTGCGGCGAAAACCCGTTCGCCGAGCTGGCCGGATTTGCCATGTCGATGCTCGTGCTGCCGTATTCAAATGCCGAAGTAGAGAGGACACTTAGTCAGCTCAACATAGTAAAATCCAAGCTGAGGAACAAGCTGAAGCCTGAAACAACAAATGCCATCCTCGTCGTAAGAGCGGGGCTGAAGCGACACCAGAAAAGTTGTTTTGATTACGAACTTCCCGCCGCAGTTGTTAGTGCAATTGGGACATCTGCAACGTATGTGCAACCAAGTCACCTGTCTGGTCCCTCAACAAGTACCAGCGGTCCTGTGGAGATGGTGTCAGACGACAACAGCGGCGACGAAGACCTCGATGTGTTTTTCGTTGACCTGTGAGTTTTTTTTATCAGTGTGAACATTCATAACTTTTAGCTTCATCTGTGATGAGGTTCACCAATGACGACGACCGCAGCACTGAAGCCTCAAGTGTTCTAGTTAGACTCCTTGAACGACTATTCGCGGCAATATGTTATTTCAGCTCTCGAAGTTTTGGGGAGCTTTTGAGAATGATAAAGGTATTTATCATACAAAATTGCAGTGTTTTTTGAATAAAATAGGCCCTAGCGGGAAATTTAGCGGATATGTTTTAGAATCTAGCGGAATCTGGCGGATTTCTCATTTGTTTTTAGCGGATGTCTGACGTTGAGCGATGGCAACACTGTTTGGCGGCATGCAACAAGTCAAACCTTGTTTTTTCATCTAGTAACAGTGGCAGTGCAGTCGAGAGGCTCTTTTCCGAGAGGCACCTCGGTGGCATCCCTGTAGCACCTAATGTAGGGCTTGGCTTGTCAAAGGTTCTCGCCATGGACAATGAGCTGTCTGTCAATGTCCTCTCGCTGTCTGTATTGTCATGAAGTGCACAAACCAGTCATGTACAAATGCTCAGCTTTGGCCGCGCAGAAACTGTGTTCACCTAAATTTAGGAAAGTCTCGAATGCCCTCCTGGCACAATAGACTCAGACTTCTGCCCCTGTTATAAAAGTGAGCTGTCGCTTGGAAGAGCAGACTCCTGTCAATTTGACCTCTGTTATTAAATTAGATGTTCTGCTTAAAGGGGGCCACGACACCCAACAGTTAGTGGTTTTCAGCAAAAACTAGAAGTAGAGGGTATAATGTGCCTAAACAAATATAAAGAGTGGGCCGTAAAATAATATTTAAGTGCAAAACAAGCCCCATGAATCGTTTGTAAACTGGGCCAAACGCCCGTGACTGCCATTTTGCCATGGTGTGTGTGAGTGACGTCAACTGCAGCAAGGAGCGGAGCCATCATCTTCTATCACAGTTTCAGCCACCGCCAATCGTTCAATTTCAGCACCAAGCTGAAGGAAACTAAATATCTTGATTTCATGCATCGCAGAACACGGAACAATATCTTTCGCTGAAGTGCAGACACCAGCAAAGCTCTGCTGCTTGTTACGTCGCAAGTGCCCCAGTGCTCCCCAACTCACTCACATGTTTATAAAAATATTCAATTATAAATAAAGTGCGCAATCAAATGAGCTGAAATTTTGCCAGCTATTTGTGAATGCTTCAATTTGACCCACATAACACGAATTATGACCAATGATTGGGTGTTGTGGCCCCTTTTTAATCTTAACTAGCCAAACGGTCCCGCCAAAAAAGAAAAAGTTATAGATAACTACGAAAAGAAAACTTGCTTGGTTGGAGCCTCCTGACGTGTGGCTTGAAATCTTTCATCCTCGAGTCGCTTCAGTCTTACAACTGGCACGCCTCTGTTCCTTACACCAAGAAGAACATACAGACTGAAAAACCAATGTAAAAGACAGACTGAAAAACCAATATAACTTCATTATTTCACAGCACATTTTTGGGGATGTTTTTGGGCTATCTAAAACTAGTCTTTACAGTGAAAAAACAAGCTCAAGCAAATGAGGAAGAAGAGCGAATCAGACTCCACGGCTCCCTTCTGGGACTAACATCGCGCATTGTAGCAGAAGTAATGTGAAGATTTTACTCCCCACTGTGGACAGTTGGTATTTCGTATGCACAAGTAAAGAAATACAAATAATACCAATCTAAAACTCCTCGGCTTTATTATCTGTTGAGTCATAAAGCCCAGCACAACAAAAAGGGTCCCTTCAGTTGATTTTCATTCTTTCCTTCAGCATTTGGGCCAGCGTTGTACAGCCGCGGCCACGTCTGTGTAGTACGCGTGAGCAGCCACTCTTTGCTGTGCGGGGCGAAACCTTGGGTCAGTTTCTCACTCTGAAGTTGTCTGTCAGGAGCATGCGCGGCCTAGGCCTAGTTGTCAGGCTGACCAAGTCGGAACCCAATGATGCCCGCAGGTTTCGCTCCAGAGAGCAAAAACCGGCTGCTCGCGTGCTCTACACAGACGTGGTCGTGGCTGTACTTTTTCAAGCAAGCACTTTTCATTTTGTGCATGGTTGAACAATGTAGCCAACCTACCATAAGTACTTCGTTTTGTTCTTTTGAAAAAAAAATAAAGAGTTAAAAATAAAGCATTAAATCACCAAAATTGCTTAAAAGCCCAATTCACTTTTTGTAAATATTTTGACATCTAGACAAAAATGCAAAATTAGGACATGAATGGCCAAAGCTATCGCTAGCTGCGATGATGCTGTACATATAGAGTATTAACAAAAATCTTATGCAAATAGACGAAATGACAGACAAGAACATACAAAACAGAGACACTGTGCATTCTAGCTCTAAAAATGTTCCAATGTATACACAAGTCCTTGCTCTGTGCTAAGTGCATTGTGAACTGTATGAAAAATAAAGGCATAGCTACTACCATTAAAAGCAACTGGTCTTCTAAAAACTGCAGCACACGTGAATTCAGGAGACTGCTTGGTTCCCAACTGGACAGCGTACTGACAGACAAGCCAACTTTTTCCCCTTGGGAAGTTTGGCAGACGAGACTGCTGACTGGATTGAAGGTACAGCAGTTGTTTTCTCATAAAGACTTCTTGCAGCAACTAAGTACATAGAGTACTTGAAAATGAAAGTAGAATTTTAAAGGATTCACACGGACACACTGCAGTTACCAATCTTCAAAGATGATGTATTAATGAAGTTAAACACAGGTATAAGCGTTCCATGTATGCACCACGCATATTAAGCCTGAAACGATGTCCGTTTCAAGTTCCCTGAGCTTCAATGATTGTGTGCATGTCCAATAAAAACCTCCTTGAAGAAGAAAATCGATAGAGATTTGTTCATGCCAGCACAGGATGACAGTCCAGGACAGCTGTACAACACATTTCCAACAGTTCGGCACATGAAAGAAATGTGCCAGACTATAATTTTTATAAACTGTGGAATTTATGTGCCAAAAGCTTGTCATGAATATGGGCATGCTGCAGTGTGAAATTCCAAGTTAATTTTGACCACATTAGGTTACCTAATGCTACTTCGCGCCATGAGCGTTCAAATCTTGAGCTAGATTTGAAGGTATTTCCTTTGTGTGTAATTTGCGCCATCTCGAAATGGCGTCGTGCAAGCGGAATGGCTGCCGTCGCAAGTTTTCTTAAGGTCGTTCCAGGGTTGTTGATTGGCTCTCACTCGGTGCGCATTTTGAGTGCACCAGGCCGAGGCTCCTATTGGCCGACGTGGCCGGGACGCTTCTCAATTCAATAACGCAGTTTCACGTTTCCCATTGGCTGGTGTGACCAAGTCGTGTATATATATATATATACATATTTTTCGCACGTTCGCCGTCGTGGCTGTCCGATCATGTACGCCTGCTCTTGTGCTCATGCATGTTTCTCGAGACACAGTGTTTGTGCTTTGCGCCTGTAGTTTATCCACGCGATTGAGATGTCCGGAGACTCTCACCTCAAACTGTCTTCCCAATGAGTCTTTGGAAGCGGTTAAGAGCGGACTTAAAACAAGAAGGTACCGGCTAGAAGTGCACCATCAGGGCGAGAGTTTGGTGGAGTTGGTGCCCATTAGGCACCTTTAGGTTTACGATCCGCTCCGTGTACAGAATGATTGCGCGAGCAGCGGAACAGGGAGCACATGCCATGCTCCGCTTACGAATACAATATAGCGAAGAATGAAGGTGCGTTCACTTGGTCTTGTCATAATGTTCCTAACACACTTGTCACAAATGCGAAATCTATGCGGTTCCCTGAGCACCCTGCCCTGTCTTGGGACGCTACATATGCGCGTGGCTGAGCGTAAGTGGCACTCGACTCATAGAGACTTATTACACAAGGCAGCATGCTGCCCAATATCCAGGCAGTTAATTAACGATCAATGTGCAGGTGATTAATTAATGTGGACCGAGTTCTAAATCATTTACGAAGAAGCAGTGGCTTTATTGTAATACATCGTGGTCTTTTCAGGACCGTTGCATTTCAGGACAGCTGCATTTTATACTGAACCAAAAAATATGAAAAAGTGCCTTAATCACCCGTAAAAAATGACCTATTACTTCACTTAATTTCTCGTAATCTGAGAACTACTTGAGGTATATTGAAACTTATTACATCATTCAAAACAATAGAAAGAAATACATATGCACACTTAATTTCATTAAATATCTCTAATGATAAACATTTCATTTTTAAGACCTGCATGTCCCTTTAAGGCACGTTTACACTAGCAAGACACGGCACAGATTTTGGCCTGCCGACTGTCTGCGAGAGAGTCTTGTCATGTCATCATTCCATTCACACTACAACGACGCCAACAGCCTGCCGATTGTCAGTGGCATGCCTGGTCGGCGTCTTCCTGTGCTCGTGGCCTGTTGTCTGCTGATACTCTGGGCACACGGGAAGCGCATGCGGCGACACTGACCAGACTTGCGTGGTGGTGGGATGGTAGAGATTAGGAGAAGGAAGAAGACGCTGAAGGTGAAGCGGTGCACCCATCCGGCTGTGAATTGGCTCATGTTTGGACGGCTGTCAACGGGCCCGCATCGTTTCGGCAACTTCTGAAAGTGCGGTTATAAAGTTATCAGTGTTGCGTTCATGCGGGTAAGTTTACCCAGCTATGCTCGTCTGGGGGAAAATTTAAGAAAAGCCGATGCGGTCGCAGTGTCGAATGTTTGCCTTTAAGCAGTGGGATGTGTATATGGCAGCAATTAAACAAAGATAGAACCTAAAGTGGTCAAAGTAGATAGGCTAAACGGGCTGAGCGATTTTTATTTGTCTCTGCGAAGTATATGGGACTCATTCTCAGGAACCTACACCACGTTATGTTACTGCAACTCGTTTATAGGAAGAGCTTTAGCGAGTAACTAGTAATGTTCTTCCAAGTATCGGTGTAATGATACACTAACTGGTGATAAGTTGGGCAATTATTTCTGTTTTACACTTTAGTGCCACGTACGACATCGAAACTTGACCTTCTTAACCGAGTTGCATGAAAAAAACAGAAATATTCTTTTATCTATCACTGCATTGTAGAGAGTGCAGCTGCGCTACTTTGTTTGGCGATACGGTAGTCCAAACTAGATTCAAGGAAAAGGTAGCGCGGGAAATTGAAGAGACGTATTTCATCAACAAAAAGCTGGTGATTCGTGTATCGCGAAGCCATTCGTTATATTACTTGCCGCTGAGGTAGGTTTTCTGGAGGTGCACCATTAATACAATCTGACTGCTCATCTAATCTTTGCTTTCACTGCACATGTTCTCGTAACCACATATATGTGTTTTCTCCAATAAAGATTTTCTTCCCTTTGTACTGCAATTTTTTCGCGCAACCCGGTTAAGATGAATTACCAACTCGCCCACTGCTTAACAAAACTTAATAGTGAGATCCTCCAGAATGGATAAAAATATCCGAGAGATGAGCTATATTGCAATGTAAGATGCAGCCATACGCAAATAAAGATGTTCGCGGAAGCTATGCATGGCAAGTGATCGGTGTAAATAGAAAATGATGCATGTTGTTCTATTAAGCTCCACTTCTACTTCGTTGTAAAGATCCATCTTTTATGGCTCACTGCCAACTGGAAACCACGTTTTTTTTTTCGTTTTTTTTTTCGCTCCTGTGGAATTGGCTAATATTGTGGAATTGGAATTGGCAATGGAATTGGCTAATAAACCTGTGGAATTGGCTATCTGGGGCTTCGGGGGGGGGGGGGGGGGGTACGCTGCGGCCCGCCACCTCTCAGGCACAGGAGAGCACACAAAAGGTGAGCGGAGTCAGGCATGCTCCCTGCTCTACCATTGTCTCTCTTCGGCTACACCGGCAGCCCCCCCCCCCCCCCCCCCCCCCCCCGCTATAATCCATGGTAACGAGAGACAGGGGTGGCGGCCACATATAGGGAAGCAACAATAGGGAAGCGAACAAAAGACTTCTGTTGGCTGCTCCAAATGCCTATTCAGACACTGTGGAAGCCTCAGGGAGGGCATTGTTAACTCCCCCAAGATTACCTCCTTTGTGATCTTTGAAGCAAAGACACTGGGCGAATTTTCACTCAGCCACAGATCTTCCAACAACACGCCCGCCCACGACATGTCTGTGAATACATTTTGCTAGGGTTTTCGGTCTCTCATCATGTTACACTACGACGACATGCTGTCTTTTGAGGGGGCGGCAGCGGCCTGGTGTGACCAGGGGCTCTGGCGCCTTTGTCGGCGGGCGAATATTCTGCTGATGATTTGCATGTGCCCCGTGCCTTCGGAAGGCTCATGTCAGGGTCGTGTCGCTCTAGTGTAAACGCGCCTTTAAAGGGCCACTCACCAGGCCCCATAACAAATTTTAGTTAGACGGTGAAAATTGCTGAGTGTCCGATGAACATTTTGCCACAATAGCTTTTTAATCGGTTCATTACGAGCTGAGAAAACTTTTTAGAAGTGGCGCAAAACGAGGATGAGAGGAGGCGAGCTCAGAACCCTTGCCACTCCTCCGTGTAGCCTTCCCAAGACAAATCCCTTCCCTACACTCTCCGGCACCCGACAAAGAGGCCACGTGCGCATGATGTGCCCGAACAAGCCCAACCGCCAGGCACACGAGCTGCCTCTTTTTTTTTTTTTTTGTTGACCAGCATTGTTTTGAGGTCTACTGCCCGTTTCTGCGGGATGGTTTGGAGACGTTGGTTTAGACGCGGTAGAATAGATGAACACAATTAGTGCACGAACGCGTAGGAGCGTTCCGCGGCTGTCGTCTGTTAGAGGCGCTGACCGCGGCCGCAGAAACACAAATGCATGCGAAACGCTGGCACAGTAGCCCCGCATCTCGTGGCAATTCACGGGGGGGGGGGGGGGGGGAAGAAAAAAGAATGCTCCCGTTCCCTTATTGTGCCTCCTTTTATTCATGTCAAGATTTATTAATCTCTTCAAGCAAAAAATACATAAACCACGAATGCTGTGTTAAATATTTTCGCCATGTCACGTGCCACTGTTGGCAACATCAGAGCATAGTCGTCTACATAGGGCCATTTATACACGCACGTCATGCCCCCATTCTATGGGCGCCCGCTTGCAAAAGGAGGGGAGCAGCGTTCATGATGAAATTTGACCCATTTCCGCGACACATAGTGTTGCAAATTTTGGCCGACATGGTCATGAACACCTCATCAACGCATTGTGCTAGTTAGCTCAAAATTGTCAAACCTGGTAAGTAGCCCTTAAAGATTCATACTGACAAAAATTAGTGGAGTTTCATGGTGTGAATATATATTAAGTTTGCCAGTTTTTTCTCACTACCAGAACTACAAAAACAAAATCACATGCACATCCCATTTCCACATGGTTAAGTATTCTATTGTCAATGTTATGTTAATAGTCTACTTCTTCAAGTTGGCAAGACAATAAAATTAGGGCGAGTACTGCTAAATGAGTGCAATAGTATGAAAAAGTTGGCCCATTTGGTAAGGTAGCATATTTACGTAGTAATAAAGACTTGGTTGAAAAAAAAGGGACACAGACTGCGCTCGTGCGTGTCCCTTCTTTTTAACCCAGTCTATTTTTGCGCCGTACCAAACATACTGCCAATGATTCTGTTGCGAGTTGGGTAGTTTTATTCTGCCTTTCGCTTCATTATATCAATTAAATAATTTGACTAGCTTCGCTAGTCCCCTCAGGTGATAGAATAATGAAAGTAAACTAGAATCTTGAAGCAGCGTTTTCCAATTTCACAGGAAACTGCTAGGCAGAACATGTAAGGCGCTTCACGAGGACATGAAAAAATGGATATTTAAAAATGGTCACAGAAAATGCGAATGATTAAATAAACAAACAACCATGCTTTTAAAGACAAAGTACAACCATATTACGCACGTCTTATCAAATCGGTGACCAGAGTCCATGTCTGTTGCAAGTGGTCCCAACTCCCAGTCAAGAGTGCTTTGAAAAATAAAACAAGAAGCTGTAAAATGCAAGCAAGACGCAGTCAGAAAATGATCAGCCGAGAATGGAGCTACACAGCAAAAGTGACAATACACAATACACAAAATGAAAATATTCTAAGAAGAGACGAGACTTAAAAATGTTTTTTCCAAACTTGCAAATATTTTGTTTTCAATTGCTTTCACAAGTTTAGTCATTGTCTAGAGTCCCCTGGAAACTTTCCCAAGACTGGCTGCCATTGGATTTCACACGAGACATTAACCCAAACCACACGCTGAAAACAACAATGAGCTCTCGTAATTGAAGTCATCTTAAAGAGCATTCACTTGCATGTTTCAAATGAGTTTTTTCTTGAGATGCAATTTTGGGCGACTTCTTGATATTGTACGTCATGTTTTGATACTTCTGATGGCCAAATCAAGATGAAATTCTTGCCCCGTATTCCTCAATATGTGAAGACTGCTAGTCTATTTATTAAAGCATGACATCACTTATATAATTATGAACTTACAGTAGGCAATAAGCATGGGCTGTGCACTTAAACATTACAATTTTTCTCGGTTCATTTAAGTGTATTATACATACTTTCTTCATGGTTACTTGCATTCTACAGTTAACGCGGAGAAATAAGAGCCATTAATGACTCAATAAGAAAAGCTTAGCAGCCCAAAAAGACTGTTCAATAAGAGATATTTCACATATTACCAGAGCACAAAACGAAAATTATGCAACTTTTGATATAACTAATTACATTGGAATGAGCATAACTACTTCTGTACACAGCCAACATCTTATTGCCTTGAGCTCCAGATTGGAGAAATTTTTAATCGCATCTCCTCTTAATATGCACCTACAAAGAGTACCTATTACCCATATATGACTGAACTTCAGGATATTACCAAAAATATTTCCTTTTCTTGATAATAGCTTCTAAGGTCTCAGAAAAAATGAAACTTTTATTACAAAGAAAACTTTTTAGGTGAGACCATGTTTGTTGTTCTGGTCACTATTGTTGAAGTAGTGCTGATTGAATGTAAGAGGAAATTTTGATTAAACAGTAGTAGTATTTGCTCAACTTTCATTAGAATATACACTTTTAGTTCATGTTACAATAAGGAATTGCCCCATTTTTATTAGAAGTCAAAAATACTTAGGCATACTTTATGTTCCCGTGAGTTTCATTTTGTGCATTTAGCTCTCTTTGAAAAAAAAAAAAAAAACCTCATGCGGCCGGAGCGGTTCCGTGGCATCACCACCCTGCGGCAAGAAATGCATCCGACACAAATGCGGCTCTTGATTTATGTCAGCTATTGCTCAATAACGTGCAGTCTGCTGTTCAACATCATACAGAAAGCTACAGCAGCTCCAAAGAGAGTGGCTTCTGTATACATAGAAAGCATCTCAGAAAATAGCAACTTTGCACTTTGTTTCTGAACTCTAATTGCCAAGCACAAATGCAAAATTTGGCTTAGCTGCTTGTGGCAACGTTGGCTCTCTGCAAAATGAATTTTTTTCACCAAGCCCATGTGGCAGTTTATGACCCTTTTAGAACATGAATTCTGCTCTTCATTATGTGCCCTTCTTGCAGGGGGAACATACGGTTACCATTCACTGTATCACTGCATAATTATGTAAAGAAAAGCGCATTGGCCTGCAGACCAGTCAGCGTAGTAGAAGTAGAAGTGGTGCCTATGTATCCGATCACGGCTGCTTCTGTCAGCAAGACAGAAGCAGCAGTAAAGTTGAAGCAACAAAAAATGGTTTGCTTGAGATCTGAGGTATAGACACAGCAATGTGCTAAGTGAAGTGCGAATAAAACTGCTTCCACTATCTGTGCTGTGAGGGATAAAGGCGGAGCTAGTCCAGCGTGTGCCAAAAAGGTAGGAGAAGTGAATGTAACCATTGATACTTTAGAAATCAGTCAACAGGTTGTGAATGTACCTTGCACTAACTACACCCAACAAGCAAAAGAGATGCTTACAGCTTTTGAACGGAGTGCATATTCACCTGCCAGTGTAGTATATTCCCCTAACTTCACTGTCATGAACTTATTCGCTGCTGTCCTTAACATAGTTGCAGCATCACTTGCGAGAAATAGCCAAGTGCCAAACCGATTCAATATGGATTATTGTACTGAATAGTGTCACCCGAGGCACATGCATAAAAAAAGGCAGCGGTTGTAGAAAGGATGAATGCGTGTGGCAAATGACGGCACATAAAACTCTCTCATTTCAACTTCAAAAGGCAATCTTGAATGAAGGAATGTCAAGTTTAAATACTGAGTGTCTAAAGATGAATGGGCCAAGTCCCACATTGAGGGGAGACGCATAGGGGACGGACCAACACCTAAAAATTCTTCAGGCTTCTTCACATCCTCCTTTCCCCACATGCTACCCCACGCAGAGGACGCAAAGGGGCCGATCGAAAAACTGGAAAAGCATCTGGCTACAATGGCTCCACGTCTGCTCACAACGCGCTTGCCCAGGCAAGTCGGTGCGTGTGCACCAGGCTGCTGTGCGATTTGTGTTCTTCGTGGCGTGTGGTCACGCTCAATTTGGTGCTCTTCGTGCCCATGTGAGCATTCTTTTTTTTGGAGTACGCGTGTTAATGCCCAATGTGATGTTTGGCGCTAATTGCGAGGATCGCAATGACTGCAAGTTCGTGCAACATGAGCCCAACATGGGCCAGTGTTGTGTTATATGACAATGGGCCAAAAGTGCACCTGTATTCATTCCCAAGTGATGACGCCCAGAAACAAGCACAGTATCGAGCTATCGCACAGAAGAGTTTTCACGCCAACTGTGCATTCCAAGGTAAAGAATTCTCGCATTGCTTTATTGGGTGTGTGAATCATCGTTCTTGGCTGCAACATGTGTAATTATCGAAAGGGAATACTCTTTTCGTACATAATGAGAATACTTCAACACAACGATGAAGAAGCATGCATTTCTCATGAATATTCACTTATCAGTGGGGTGTGTTTGTAAATGCACAGTGCTAAGAAGAATACACCTCTCACAGCATAGTTAATAAAATAACTTCTATTTTGCTCTCACTGCCATAAAGTACACCTGGTTTGGTCTTGTATGTTTTGTTTTTTTCTGCGTGTTGATGTGTGCAAACATCCTCCAAAGCCAAGCATGTTATGTAGCAAGTTAATGCGACAATAAAAATGGCTTTCTCATGATGCGCTGCAAGAAAAAAAACAAAAGTAGTAAAAAATGCAATTTAATTTCATTGCAGATGCTGAAACCCACCTTAAAAGGTGGTTTTATTTTTCCTTTTCTTGCTTTTATTTTTTTAAAGGAGAATTGTAGGCATATTACTTGCCTGGTCCATGGATAACAAAATTCAAAGTGTTGCGTAAAAAAACAAAGATCTGTTTGATTGCAATGCTACGGGTATTACTGCCAATTTTTCTTTTTTTTTTTCATCTTTAAGAATAGCTTTGTGATCATAGCACAGTTAATAATTATGAAGGAACAGCTATTTGAAAGTTATATCTACGTAGTGTGTTCCATGGGTTACGAGTTTATAACAGCCACTTTTAGGAGCGAAGCTCCTTATAGCGGCACCCGTTTGTCCCTCGTAGCCGTTGTATGTAACAAGTATAACATTTTGACCTCCAAGGTGGTGCCGGTGAGAGATTTATTTTTTCTGTGCGTTGTTGAACAATAGAAGATAGTGCTCAATGTACATACCAATGGCTGCTGATGGGGAATGAGAGACAGGAGCATTCGGCTTTTCACGCGCACTCTGCGATCTCCATCAGCAGCCATTGGCATGTACATTGAGCCCTATCTGACAGGAAAAGGTTGCTACGTTATACTCGCTGGGCGTAACCTCCTCGGTTTTAGAAAGGTTTAGCGAGCGTTGGGCCGCAGTGCCATGAACACAGTGAACTAGTATATACCATCAACTCTAGGTGGTTAAAGGTGGGAGAGAGAGAGAGAATTTATTAGAAGGCAGAGAGGTCGGCCTGAGCTAGTTCGCTCTAGCCTGCTACTCTACACAGGGGATAAGGGAAAGGGGAAGGAAAGGGGAAGGAATCCGACACATCGAGTGTGGCTGGAGCCGCAAATGCACCGAGTGTTTCCGAGATCGCCGGGCTCGACACGTGCTCCGAATCAATGCCATCCAGTGTGACACCGAGTGCTTCTGATATCGCCAGACCCAGCACTTCGTCTGAATCGGTGCCGCCATCGAGCGTGAGTGGACCGTCGCTTCATCTGCGGACGCGTTTCCTAACGAAGGAAGAAATCGATGCGAATGCGAAACGTCGTGACGCCGTTCGCGCTGAACTCGAGTCTACGCCGGCGACGCAGAAGAAATTTCTACTGATGCAGCCGGCTCTTGCACCTGCAGTGACAAGTGAGGGCGAACATTTTTCGCTCGTTCAAATGAACATCTTTAACGTCGTGCTCAGCCGCACAGTGTGCAAAGAATGTTTGAAAAGGTGCTATGACTGTCTGAGAGAGCACCAAGCTTGGACTTGCAACAAAACTTGAAGTCGTGTGCGCCTCTTGTGGCACCGTCGATAAATTATGGACATCACCCCGCAAAAAGGACACGCAGGCTTTTGATGTAAATGTCCGCGCCATAATGGCTATAAAGCAAAAAGGCAAGGGGCAAACAGCTCTTAATGACTTTTGGGCTGCCATGAACGTCTCTTACAGAGGTCTTCACCACAAGACGTTTCAAAAGCACTTGAAAGAGACGTTCAGGAAGCCAGAGGCCACCGCTTTGGAGAAGTTTTATGCTGATTCTGCCACAGCAGTGATCAAAACATATAAAGAAATGGACCCCAGCTTCTGCAAGGACATCACCGTAGTGTACGATGGCACATGGCATAAGCGGGGTCACACATCACACATCGGAGTGGAATCGGTAATTGACTTCTTTACAGGTCTCATCTTGGATGCTGTAGTTCTTTCAAACCACTGCCTTGGATGCCAAACAGGGCCCAAACCTGGAGATGCAGCATACGAAAGCTGGCAGAAGCACCACATTTGCCAGAAAAACACAGACGCAAAATCGGGAAGCATGGAAGTGGAGGCAGGCTTGACTCTCTTTGGGCGGTCTGTATCCAAGCATGGCCTGCGGTACACCACTCTTGTGTCCGACGGAGACAGCCGTACCTTCGCTGCCCTCACAGAAGAGAATGTGTACGGGCTAGTGCCAATTGTAAAAGAAGAATGTCTGAACCATGTTCAGAAAAGGATTGGAAGTGCTCTTCGAAACATTGTGCAGAAAAGTGATAAGCCACTGAGTGGGAAGGGGAAGCTGACTAAAGCCCTCATTGAAAAGCTGACAGGATATTATGGTTGGGCCCTGAGAAACAATTCAACTGACCTAACAGCCATGCAGCGTGCAGAGATGGCAACATATCACCACGTCTCATCGACTGACCAGGACCCTCACCATGAACTTTGCCCAGAGGGGGCTCAATCGTGGTGCCACCATAGAGCTGCAGAGGCAAAGCGTGAGCCACAGCCAAAACATAAACACAGCCTACCGGACTATGTCGCTGCAGCTACGCTGCCCATCTACGAAAGACTGTCACAAAAGTCGCTTCTTCAGCGCTGCCTGGGAGCGAAGACGCAAAATCCATCAGAATCATTCCACTCCATTCTGTGGTCTCTGATGCCGAAGGAACAACACTCATCCTTGATCGCGGTAGAAACAGCACTGCATGAAGCAGTGCTGCGCTACAATGCCGGCTGCTGCAAAGCAACCCAAGTGATATCGGACTCCATTGGACTTCAACCAGGTCATCTGGCCATCCAGCGAGCTCGTGAAAAAGACGCTTTACGCCTAAAAAAGAATTCTAAAAGACACCTTGGCCATCCAGCGAGCTCGTGAAAAAGACGCTTTACGCCTAAAAAAGAATTCTAAAAGACACCAAGAGAAGATGGAGGCCAGGCAAAAGAAGAAAAGAGTGCGCCAGGACACTTCTAGCTACTGTGCTGGAGCTTTTTGAAGAAAACACGTGTTTTGAACTTTCTCGGCCTGTTTTCTCAGAACGGATTTTTTTACTAGTTGTGGTGCTGAGGAAAGCAAAAACTCGAAAACCGTTCATCAGATTTGTGTGCCGTTTTTTTTTATTCTGTTCCTGAATGACCTTGCAAGGGCGTAACAAGCTCCTTTTTTTGAAAATTGGTGCTGTTAATTTATAATAAACAATTAATTTTTGATGAATCTGGTCATTACAGGTTACATCAAATTCAAAGTTGCGTGAAAATTTTTGGGGGGGATATTAAAAAAAAACGGCTTTGTAGCGCCCTGGGATAGCTATCAAGGAATGACCACAATGAATTTCAGCTTTCTACTATGTCCTGGGATTTCTCACGACTCTTCCTCAGGCACCCATGTCAAGCACCCAGTTAAACCTCAATAACTCTGGAACTAAGAAATACAGCTTCGTGAAACTTAGCAGTTGTGCTAGTTTTATTGTAGTAAACAACCCCTGAAAGTTTCGTCCAGATATCTTAAAAAATAAAAAAGTTCGGTCTCCAGGGTAGCCTCCCCCCTTAAAACGCCCAAAATGTTCTTCCCGAGGTTTTAACTAGCCTATACATGTTTGTATACGTGTTTGTACATGCGTGATCGTAGATGTAAACACATGCAACATCAAGAAACATAGGGGGAAGGGTTTGAACCCCCTACTTCGAAATGAAATGCTGGAACATGTGGTGCATTTTGCGAGTGCATGATCAACGCTCGCTGTTTTAATTAACAGAATGAACCGCGCCTCGCAGACGTTGGGGTGCGTTCTCTTGCTGTGTGCAATTAAGAGATCGTGATTCAGTATTAGGGACGACGGGGAAAACTGAATAGAGTCGCAGCAGGCGGTGCGCTGCCCCCTCCCTTTTTTTTTTCACAGCTGATCGTGCCGCGTCGACTGCGTGCCACGACGGGGACGATACACTTCCCCTAGTTGTGTCAGCGCAAGACATATCGTTGGGACTCGTGTAATGTGACGAATAAACGTCCCAAGGCTGGCTAATCGGGGTACGTCAGATATGCTTCTGCTATATACACCTGGAAGGCTGCTTTATCGACGCAGTTGGAGCGAATTAAGCGCGACTCGCGCCTACCTGTAATTAGGACCCCGCCTATGAGAGTCACCGTCGCTTGCAGGGCCCCACCCACAATAAGCACAAACGACCGAAATTCCAAATAACGAATGCTTATGTGGAATCCCATTTACAGGTACACGCGAGTCGCGCTTAATTCGCTCCAACTGCGTCGATAAAGCAGCCTTCCAGGCGTATATAGCTGTAGCATATCCGACGTACACGAGTCCGAACGATATAGCTTGTGCTGACACAGCTACGCGTCCCCGTCGTGGCACGCGGTCGACGCGGCATGATCAGCTATGAAAAAAAAAAAAGGGGGAGAGGGGGGGGCAGCGCACCGCCTGCTGCGACTCTATTGAGTTTTCCCTGTCGTCCCTAATACTGAGCCACGGTCTCTGAATTGCACAGTTGCGCGCACAGCAAGAGAACGCGCCCCGAGTTCTGTAACGCGCGATTCATTGCGTTAATTACGTCGCACACACTCGCGGACAAGTTCATTGCACTCGCGAAATGCACGGCGGACCACGCGTCGTTGATTCGCTAACTCTGAGACACGATCTCTTAATTGCACAGCAGCGCACACAGCAAGAGAACGCACCCCAACGTCTGCAAGGCGCGGTTCATTCTGTTAATTAAAACGGCGAGCGTCGATCATGCACTTGCAAAATGCACAGCGGACGACACCACACCCTCACGGAGAAGCCACTACTAAGGGGGCAAATTTCTTTGCCAAAATTGGTAGCAGTCTGGCAACAACCACCCCAAAGTCTGGCAACTGACTTATGCAACGCCAAACAGAACCTTGCCGGAGCCACGGTCCTAACAATTCTTTTAAGTAACCGAGTACAATAGAGGTTTTTAGTTTGACGTTTTTACGCTCCGCTTAGCAGCTAAGCGGTGCGCATGCGCCCTCCACTAAGGCCTTAAGCGGGTTACCGAAGCGGGGAATACGGTCCACTTACGAGCAGCCTAAGCGGAGCGCGGTGCGTTGCTGCCGTTTTTGCAAGCGGAAGGGGGACAACGCGCGCGCCCTCTCGTGCGTGCAGCAACTTTGCTCATTTCAAGATGGCTGCCTCCAGAGATGGCGCGCTTTCCGCGAGTGCTTGCATGGTTATAAACAATTTCAACGGTGAAAAATAAAAACGCCGCCACCAGACACGCGTCAAAAGCGCAAACAACATACAGAGAATGCTTGCAATGGATCTGGAACGGAACCTTGCTGGCTTTTGAGTGGTTACTATCAAGTCAGAGCTTGCTTCTTTGTAAAAAAAAAAAAAAAAAAAAATAGACGGTTAGTACATTGAAAGTGGATTTTTAAATACTTCGTGAAAAGATAATCTATACGTCATTGTATTGTATACGTGAAAAAAATGGTTTCTTATTTTGTTTATCGACAATGAAAACGACCACAGGGCGCTGCAACTGTGAAAGGTCCGCTTCGCTGCCGGCAACGAATAACAAAGAGAAAAATCAGCCGCCGCTCCGCTGCGGTTTCGCGGGTGCTCCCGGAGCGGGGCGGACCACAAAAACGTCAAACTAAAAACCTCTAATATACTAACAGAACTGCCCATGCAAAGGTGCGTTTGTGCAATGTCGAATAACTAAAAGAGACAAATCAGCCGCCGCTCCGCTGCGGTTTCGCGGGTGCTCCCGGAGCGGGGCGGACCACAAAAACGTCAAACTAAAAACCTCTAATATACTAACAGAACTGCCCATGCAAAGGTGCGTTTGTGCAATGTCGAATAACTAAAAGAGACAAATCAGCCGCCGCTCCGCTGCGGTTTCGCGGGTGCTCCCGGAGCGGGGCGACCAACAAAACGTAAACTAAAAACCTCTAATATACTAACGAACTGCCCATGCAAAGGTGCGTTTGTGCAATGTCGAATAACTAAAAGAGACAAATCAGCCGCCGCTCCGCTGCGGTTTCGCGGGTGCTCCCGGAGCGGGGCGAACAACAAAAACGTGAAACTAAAAACCTCTAATATACTAACAGAACTGCCCATGCAAAGGTGCGTTTGTGCAATGTCGAATAACTAAAAGAGACAAATCAGCCGCCGCTCCGCTGCGGTTTCGCGGGTGCTCCCGGAGCGGGGCGAACAACAAAAACGTGAAACTAAAAACCTCTAATATACTAACAGAACTGCCCATGCAAAGGTGCGTTTGTGCAATGTCGAATAACTAAAAGAGACAAATCAGCCGCCGCTCCGCTGCGGTTTCGCGGGTGCTCCCGGAGCGGGGCGAACAACAAAAACGTCAAACTAAAAACCTCTAATAATACTAACAGAACTGCCCATGCAAAGGTGCGTTTGTGCAATGTCGAACAAAGGCAAATGAAACAATGTTTTGTAGCGCGAGCTCGCGCTACAAAGCACGCTTTCAAATGCATCACCTACAAACCGACATTGCAACTCGATGAACAAAGGCGTGCGCGGAACGCGACAGATAACCAACGCATCGAATTTGGTTGTCTGACCGTTAACCGCTTATATGCTTAGGACAATGAGCCGTATTATTCGAATGAAAAATGTTTTACACACCAAGCCCTACATCCACACACGGCTCTCGACGCAAACGAGAAACTTACCAAGGGACTGCACTACGCACAACCGCTCACTCTAACGCAACGCTGCTCCAACGGGTGCGGACGGAGTAATGAAGGAAAAGCAAGGCACAGAACACCTACCAGTGTAAAAGGCGCGAAAATAGCAACGTTGCCAGATGAGCAGAAGTTGTGAAACTAAACGTAGGCTAAGACAAAAAAAAAACTTTGAAACCTAAAAATGCCATTTACAAATACTAAAAAAATGAATTATACCAAAAATTAAAACAAAAAAAGTTTATTTTGAAAGTTTTCTTACTAATTGACCCCCAGTTTGAGGTGACTGCTGAGTAGAGGTGTGCACCGGGACTTCGGCGCGTTGCCGCCAAAAATTTTCACTGCACCACCAACGCCAACCGATCGGCGCGCCGCCGCCAGTTATTATTTTTTTTTTTGGCGTGTCAGTTTTTTACGATTGAATTTTTTAACCTGACTTTCTTTGGCAGTTAATTCTGCCACCAGTAAATTGTGAGTCCTTTCTTAATTCTGCCCTCTTGTAAACGCATCGCAATTCATTCGTATGCCGGTTTCTTTGGCAGTTCATTCTGTCACCAGTAAATTGTGGGTCCTTTCTTAATTCTGCCCTCTTGTAAACGCATCGCAATTGATTCATCTGCCGGTTGCAGTTAAATAACTGGATGAGAAAAACATGTTCAGTACTCCTATTATTATAGGAAGGTAGTGTTGGTTGAGTGTACTAGGAATGTTGAGTGGCGTGACCGTGCCTCGCCGCCTGATCCCTTCCGCGTTGCCCGCAGCGGCGGCGCTGCAGTCGATCAGTACTGAAAGAACCACGCGCCGCGTGCAGGAACTGCTATGCGCTTCGGCTCCTCCGTCGCGATTTCTTGATGCAGATTTCTCCGCACCTGCCCATCATTCATGTTTAGCACATGATGCATTAGCCCTTGAAGTATGACACGCCGTTAAAGAACCCCAGGTGGTCGAGATTTCCGGAGCCCTCCACTACGGCGTCTCTCATAATCATATAGTGGCTTTGGGACGTTAAACCCCACATATCAATCAATCACTCGTAATAAGTTTACGTGCTACGTGACGCCAAACATGCGCATAAAACAGTGTTTCACACTCGTCGCTTGGCTTACAGATGGCGCTGACTGACACTCCTACTTCTAAATTCACATATAAACCAAAAAAAAAAAGTGGAAGGAGGGAAGGCCGCTGTGGTAGTTTAGTGGTTAGAGCATCGAACGCGTTATTCGAAGAAGGCCGCAGTGGTAGTTTAGTGGTTAGAGCATCGAACGCGTTATTCGAAGGTCGTAGGTTCGATTCCTGCTCATCGCTGGTTATTTTTTCATCCGCTTTTTTTTCTTCTTATTTACAATCCATTGGTTCTAATAACTTCCCCTGTACATTCCTTGGCATTACTGTCTGTTAGATCTCATTATTATTGTGTCAAACACGGAAAAACGAGCTCTCAGGTATACACTTCTATATACACCAAGTCTGCCAGTACGAGACCCTCGTTTAATGAAATAAGGGAAAGAAGTGTATACCCCTAAGGGCTCGTTTTCTATATATATATATATATATATATATATATATATATATATATATATATATATATATATATATATATATATATATATATATATATAGAGAGAGAGAGAGAGAGAGAGAGAGAGAGAGAGAAGTATATACCTAAGGGAGGGCTCGTTTTTCTGTGTTTTTACACAATATTCATCATCATCATCAGCCTGACTACGTCCACTGCAGGACAAAGGCCTCTCCCCTGTTCCGCCAGTTAACCCGGTCCTGTGCTTGCTGCTGCCCATTTATACCCGCAAACTTCTTAATCTCGTCTGCCCACCTAACCTTCTGTCTCCCCCTAACCCGCTTCCCTTCTCTGGGAATCCAGTTAGTACCCTTAATGACCAGCGGTTATCCTGTCTACGCGCTACATGCCCGGCGCATGTCCATTTCCTTTTCTTTATTTCAACTATAATATCCTTAACCCCCGTTTGTCCCCTAATCCACTCTGCTCGCTTCTTGTCTCTTAAGGTTGCACCTACCATTTTTCTTTCCATTGCTCGCTGCGTCGTCCTCAATTTAAGCTGAACCCTCTTTGTAAGTCTCCAGGTTTCTGCTCCGTAGCTAAGTACCGGCAAGATACAGCTGTTTTATACCTTCCTCTTGAGGGATAGTGGCAATCTACCTGTCATATTTTGAGAGTGCTTGCCGAATGTGCTCCACCCCATTCTTATTCTTCTAGTTACTTCAATCTCGTGGTTAGGCTCTGCGGTTATGACCTGCCCTAAGTAGACATAGTCTTTTATAACTTCAAGTGCACTATTACTTATCTCGAAGCGCTGCTCCTTTCCGAGGTTGTTGTACATTACTTTCGTTTTTTGCAGATTAATGTAAAGACCCACCTTTCTGCTCTCCTTGTCTAACTCCGTAATCATGAGTTGCAATTCGTCCCCTGAGTTACTCAGCAATGCAATGTCATCGGCGAAGCGAGGGTTGCTAAGGTATTCCCCATTAACTTATCCCTAACTGTTCCCATTCTAGGCTTCTGAAAACCTCCTGTAAGCACGCGGTAAATAGCATTGGGGAGATTGTGTCCCCCTGCCTTACACCCTTCTTGATTGGTATTCTGTTGCTTTCTTTATGAAGCACTATGGTAGCAGTTGATCCCCTGTAGATTTTTTCCAGAATGTGTATATATACTTCATCTACGCCCTGATTCCGCAGTGTCTGCATGATGGCTGATATTTCTACTGAATCAAACGCCTTCTCGTAATCTATGAAGGCTATGTATAGTAGTTGGTTGTACTCTGAGCACACAATATTATTGAGATCTAACAGACTATAATGCCAAGGAGTGTATACCTAAGAGCTCGTTTTTCCGTGTTTTGACACAATATTAATGAGATCTAACAGACAGTAATTACAAGGAATGTACAGGGGAAGTTATTAGACCAAATTGTAATGTAAATACGAAGAAAGGTGGGTGAAAAGATAACTTGGCATTCACATATAAACACTATAAAGTGGCTGGGTGGATAGCTGTCGTGGTAGCTCAGCGGTAGAGCATCGAACGCGTCATTCGAAGGTGGCAGGTTCGCATCCTGCCCGTGGCAAGTTATCTTTTCACCCACTTTTTTTCATATTTACATTGCAATTTGGTCTAATATCTTCCTCTATACTTTCCTTGGCATTATTGCCTGCTAGATCTCATATATATATATATATATATATATATATATATATATATATATATATATATATATATATATATATATATATATATATATATATATAGGTATGGGATATGGCACAACGGGAGCGTTGTCAACAAGGATAAATATATTTGTTTCCCAACAGTTTCGGGAGGGGACCTCCCTTCATCAGGGGATGAGTTGGACGTACCGCATGATTGAGTCCCCGATGACGGCACACTTCGTAGGGTAATTTGGATATCTCCGCGACAAACGCTCCGTTGATGATGTACTGACAGCCATGGTTATATATATATATATATATATATATATATATATATATATATATATATATATATATATATATATATATATATAATATATATATATATATATATATATATATATATATATAAGGGAGAGAAGTGTATACCTAAGGGCTCGTATTTCCGTGTTTTAACACAATATAAATGAGATATAACAGACAGTAATGCGAAGGAATGTACAGGGGAAGTTATTAGAACCAAATGGAATGTATATAAGAAGAAAGAAAAGTGGATGAAAAAATTACCAGCTGTGAGCAGGAAACGAACCCACGACCTTCGAATAACGCGTTCGATGCTCTAATCACTGAGCTATCACATATATATAGGCAGGCATGGTGGTTGAGTGGCCGTAGCGTTGCATATAGTCTAGTAGATCCTCCGTGAGCGGTCACAACGTGGTTTATTTCGACGTTTCGGCCTAGAGTCTGGCCTTCCTGATGAAGGCCAGACTCTAGGCCGAAACGTCGAAATAAACCACGTTGTGACCGCTCACGGAGGATCTACTAGACTATATATATATATATATATATATATATATATATATATATATATATATATATATATATATATATATATATATATATATATATATATATATTTATATATATATTTATACTTATATCTATATATTAGATGATTATTTTCTTTCTTCCAGCTACCGTAATTAAAGTAATCAACTTTGAGAATAGTGCAGTATAGGAAACAAAAAAATGAAATATTATGAAATGAAAATTTTATGTGTGCTCGTCAGCCTTCTGAAATGATGCACACTACAGATATCGTGTTGAAGAGTGCCTGTATAGGAAACAAAACAAGAAAGTATTTATTTCTTCCTAACAATTTCGGCTGGTGGACCCGCCTTCTTCGGAGGAGCTAAGCGAAATGATGCAAGTTCCCGTCGCAGAGGGCCACCCTCACAATTTGAAGACCCCCAAAACGAAAAAAAAAATAAAGAAAAAAACAGAAAAAACCGCGACAAACCGGCGGACGAGGCAGCAACTGACAACAACAAGAAGAAGGGGAGGAAGCAGAAAGGAGCGACGGAGAGCCGCCGGAAGCAGGCGGGTAATCCCTTCATTGGTGGTGGTGGTTGTTTGTCATCTCGCCGCTCGCGCCGACCACCCAAGCTTTGTCGAACGGCAATCGCGGTCTAGGCACCTCCGAGTGGCCATATCTGGACATCTGTTACTGATGTGAGCGTCGGCGGCTCATCACTCAGAGACGCACAGCGTGGTGGTTCGACGTCCGTAATCGGCGGAAGCTCGGCAATGTGGCTTTTACCCGTGCACGAAGACGCCACGTGTCGCATCTCTGCGTGGACCCGAAGGACAGCGGTGCTCCGTAGAGTGATTTCAGCCACGCAGCGCCCAGCAAATAATCACAGTAGGGCGTCTCGTCGCTGCTCCTTATCTCCACAAAATGAGGCGGCTGCCTTTCTTCCGTTCTGGTGGCCGCGGCAAAAGGT